CCATGCGTCCTAAAATCTGTTAGCAAAAGCTTTCTCCTAGTGCCGCTGGTGAAGACCTTACCCAGTCGAGATTCGACGATGGCATATCAATTCCCTGCAGACCAATGCTCGAGGTGCCAAACATTTGCGAGAAAGGACTGACAGCAGATACCGATCCCGCCTGTTCGCCACTGGAAGCAGGACCGGCGTATTGTGGCGTCAGGCCGGTGCCTTGAGAGAGTGGGTCATTCAAGATATTTCCCATCGAAGCGGGGTAAGCAGGTCGATTGTCAAACATATTTGCGCTGTTTGGAGTCAAGGCGCCGGTGCTCAACATGCCAAGAGTCATTGCTGCAGAGTGTTCTGGCGCCACATTTGAGTCGTCCTGGAGATTCGCTGTTGCTGGGTATGCCGCGGCAGCTGTTGCGAAATTCGATTGTGCTTGACGCAGAGCGTGAGATGACTTCAATGTGTTGAGCATGACACTCAGTGAAGCATGCGCCTTGTACGCTTCCATGGAGCCGTTTGAGTATTCCGCCCAGATCGGCACTACCGTGTCAATGGCCGCCAACATCTCGTCGCGACGGTCCTGAGGCCAGCTGTAGACATCGGTCGATGGCGCATGGCCACTCCTTTCGGTCTCGCATGTGTGGTAGAGATCGAGCGCAATGACCATCGCTGCGACGAGGAAGTCGTTCGTTGTGAGCGAGGTGATGAACCACTTGACAGTCCGCAAACGACCGCCCTGATGTGATTCACGGTAGATAGTCGCCTGGTGTTTCAACATGGCCATAGAAGCGTCGATGCAAGTCCGGCGAGAATAGGCGTATCTTGAATTTTCGCGCGAAGGGCCCAGGAATTTCCTGTGCAACACAATTTGCGCTTTGAGGTAGAGTAGTTCAAGGCTGAAGCGCTGCATGACGAGAGTAGCGGGATCGCGCGCAGACTCATCCATCGATCTGATCTGGAGATGAGGAGGAACGGCAGCTTTGAGCTCCCTGAGACGCTGATCAAGCTTCGTGACGCCCTCGTAGGACGTGCAGCTCAAGGCCTGGGATTCCTCAACCACTTTCCCAAATGCGTAAACAAGGTTTGCCTTTGTAATCATGTAGGAACAAGGCGTGGGTTCGGTGACTGGTCTTGATTGAGGGACAATCTTCATCTCTTCGTATAGTTCGTCGTCATAAATGTTTCGCGGAAGCTCAGTGGTTGCGTCGCTTGACCTGACCATTGGAGGCTGGCCATTTTGCTGAGAAAACAGCAGGTCCATCTTCCGGACCACACACCAAACTCGCCGGCGCATCTCGCCCTGGAATGGTGATAGTGCGCGGTATGGTGCCGGGTCTCTGTGGTATCCCATGCGCATGGCCAAGCGGACAAGGATGGTCCAACTGACCAACACGCCGAGCTCGGCATCTTTGCTCCGAGCATACTCGCCCTGCACGTGGAGGATCAGAGTCTCGAGCATGTGGGTGACAGGCGCCGTGATGTCGGCCTTGAGAAGGCATTGCGCGGTCCGTCGCCGGTATTCGCTCGACATCTCCCAGGTTTTGCCGCGATACTCGGGAGGTTCGTCGCCTGCTCTATGATATGATTGCAACGCGATACACATCATCGCATAGGCCATGCCGAGCCAGATGATGGGAGTCTCTTCCGGGCTCAACCAGTGATGGTCGTACTGCTTTTGAAACGTTGGACCATGAATAATGTGAAATCCAGGGTCGTACACGTTGAAATAGCGCGTGATGAGCAGGTCGGAGACAGCCTTGGGAGGAAACGCTGCCAAAATCTCTGCCTTGTCAACTGGCTGCACAGCACCAAAGAGGAATGCTGTGCCTGGACTGATGTCATCTGTGTACGTTGCTTGGTGTCGTTTCAGTTGCTCATCATACTGCTTCTTGTGCTCTGCAAAGTAGCTCTTGACTTCGGCAATCTACAGAAATCATTGTTAGGAATCATCAGATTTGGAGGGGTTCAGCAAGACGTACCTCTCCTAATATTGCGTACCAGTGGGCTTCTGACGCGAAAATAGATTTGTTATTGTCCACCTTCATGATTCCAATCGATTTTGCAACCTGATCCACATCGCTGTCTTCATGGCCACTTGCGTGCGCTTCGGGCTCTTCCTTGATTGACATTCGCCTATCAACCTCCAATGAACCTTCTGTCGAGCTGCCCCCAACACTTCCATGGTTTTGGGGTGGATTCGGGAGTCTCATGTTCGCATTCGCATTCGCGATGGCGGCAGCAGCAGCAGCAGGACCAGCTGATTGGGCTCCATTGGTCATGAGGGATAGCACCAAGCCCTCCAAGCGGTCGATTCGATTTTGCATGTCGTCCGGGGTGGTCGGTGGCGTATGAGTCAATGAAGTCTTTTTGCGGTTGCCAGGAGTGGCATATGTGCAGGAGGCATTGTCGCCTCGTTTGGAGCAGTTATCACACGGATGGCCGCGGTTGCATTTGAGCCTGATGATGAGGTGGTCAGCGCTTGAAGTGCTGTTGCGGAGTTCATCGAGGAAATCCCTACTTTCTGTGTCGGCATGGCGCACACGAGAGTGGCACTCTATTCCGCTTACGCACGACCCGAAACTGACCATCTGGAGAATGGCCGGAGTTAGAGGAGGCGCCCGAAGTGGGAGTGGGTAACATGATTGTTCGACTTTTTTGGTCCAATGACAGAACAAGCCGGAAAGCCGCGCAGCCTAAATCCGAACACTCGAGTGCTGCTTATGTATAATTGGAGCCACGCGGGACTTTGGATGAGATGCTTTGAAGTAGGTATTAGGTGAGGTAGCTGTTCTAATAGGCAGTCATGCGATTTCGCGTCCGATCAATGAACCTCAGGACTTGGGAAACCGGTCGCGTAAAGGCCTATTGCCAAAGGAAATTGTCAAAGAAGGCCAGGTGGTGGTACTCAGTCCAGGCGGGGGCGGGAGACGCAGGATCCGTCCGTCGTGTAATGGCGGAGGTGGACGCGGAGATGTCGTCAAATCCACTTCTGCCCTCCGGCCAACTGCTTGATAGAAAAGGAGGCCCCGAGAAGCGCCGGGCCCTCTTGTCCTCGTCTGGTGGCTTGTGGCTGCACCACACCGAATTGGTTGCCTCTTTTGTTGCTCCTTGAGCTTCCTTTGAACGATGTGGACCTCAGCCGGCCGATGGAACTGGACTGGTTGCGAAAAGATCGGTTTCGAGATGCGAGAGAGCCTTTCTTCTGCAGCGCACACTGCCGCTGTGCGCGGGTTTCTCAAGGGAGAGTCGAGAAGAGGACCGCCGATGAGGGCTTAACGCCGTTGTATCTCCAGGGACGTCAGGGCGAGGTTTTTCGAGTGCGCAACTCCTGTGACATCAAAAGACAACCCGTCAGTATGAGGTCCAAGCAGCTTCGCCACTTGCGCTTACCCCAGTTGAAATACAGGCGCCAGTCGAGCCCTTGGCCGGTGGTTTGCGGTGATCTTGGCCCCAGAGAGAGCAAAGCTGGTTGTTTCGTGCAGAACGGCGCGTGGAGAAGCTCCCGGACAATGCGCGCGTCGAAAAAGCGGGCGACGGACGATGTTGGCACGTCAAGATGGGTGCTCTCGTGGTGGAGCGTGGAGCGGAGTTGTCTGGAGGTGAGGTGTGTCGCGACGTCAAGCGGAGAGAAGCTGGACTTGAGAAAGCAGAGCTGACAAGACCTGACAGCGTCCGCCATCTGCCCACGCGCCAAGCCACAGGCACATGAATTTCCCTCTACCACCCGGCGGGCATGATCCTCATCCACTGCTAATTCGCTCCAGTGACTCACAGAATTCCATCTCCCGTCGCGGTGTCGAATTCGAGCTTCCTCAAACAACTCACCTCTCTGTCCCGCCTCGCCCAGCGACCTCTTATATCCTAACTCCGTTGTCAATGCTCTCTCTCCCCCTCGCGACCTCGAGGTCCCATCTGATGCCTCCCGTCGTCGCCATTCCATCTCTGTCTCCAGCTGCAGACATCTCCCTGCGCCCGGCCATGCTCAGCTCGCCTATTCGACTCCAGCCATTGCGCCAATGAACCAATCGACAGTCCATCTCCAACCCAAGGACAGCGTCCCGCTACCCCTCATTCATGGATTCCTACTCCTCATGACCAGCTCGCAGGGATTCCGCGAGAACCACCACGATAGACCAAAGATCAGAGGAGCTCTCGGCCCGTCACAACGTTTGAACAGCCTTCGAGTGAAAGACGCCTCGCGCGGGATGCCTCAAACGTGTCAGTGGCCGCTTGTTGCCCGCGGCGGCACTGTAGAGGCGGCCATCAATTCCTTATCGCGCCTTGAGCACCCAAGGCTGCCTCTGTCGTCATGGATAGGATCAGCTCTCACATGCATCTCACGGTGATGCTTCCTTGAGGAACATCTGCGCTAGACCAAACGCGACGTTCAATTCGCAAACTTGACGAACTGGAATATGCTCAGAGAGTCTCTTGATGCCTCTTCTACAGCCACTGGCTGCTCCTAAGGAAAAGAAAGAAAATAATAAAATATCCATTTGCAAGGCATAACCCTTCTCAGAGGAAAGCAGAAGAAACACTCTCTAGAAAGCGGAGTCTAGTCCACAGTGTCCTGTCATTGGACACCACTCACGTTAGACTACCACATGCACGTCAGCGCGGTACAAGAACCCTGGTCTAGGCACCTGTAATGGGCGAATCGAATCGAACCGGCGATGGCCAGCCTGTCAAATCACGGGAAGCTACCGGCTTTTGCAACCAACCCAATGAGATTGAGCAAAGTAGGCAATTGGCCCAGTTGTTGTTCCTTTCAATGCCCTTTTACAAGTGAGTCTCGTCGCCTTGTCCTCCTTTCATGCATCGTTTCCCAATTCGTCTCCGCATCTTTTTCTCTGTTGTTTGCTGGTCCCTTTCTTCCGTGCACTGGCTCCCGTACTTTGGCGCGGGTCACCCTTGAGCAATTTAGTCGGTACCCTGATCTTCGCGTGTTCCATGGATTAATAAACTTCGCTACCACTCCGCAAAGCCCTCGAGGGTCAAAGCAAAATGGCACTCAGGTTGGCCAGGACTTGAACCTGGGACTTGCCGTGGGCGCGACTGTAGCCACGACATGCGTTTCCACTACACCACCAACCCGTCTTGCGGCCTTGCCGCATTCAGGTCTTTCTAAAGTGGAAAAACCAAGGAGAGGTGGCTTAAAATGTCTGACATAGATCATGGACAAGAAACTGGGCAGTCCAAGCGAAGCGATACTTGTAATGTGAGTCTGCTAATTTCAGATGCTTTGTAGGAGGATCATAGTCGAGCATCACTCGTATGCACGTTCAACTCTTTCTGAAATCTCCGGACTCCTTGTCTTTCCACTCCACCATTTCCCCCTTTCTCGCATCCCACCTCCAGCATTGACCATCGCCAACATTGTATCGATAGTAATTCTCCGTGCCACCCCTCACGATGGCCTTCCGAAACGTAATATTGATTCTCCCCATATCGCCCACCGTCTTCGCGCTCCTCTTCGGCACGCCATGCAACCACGCTCCTTGCGTCGTCCCCCGCATGAGCACCATGTCACCGCTAGCCAGCGGCAGCTTGAGCGTCGGCGCCGCGCGGTCCAGCTTGTGCTTCATGACAAAGTCGCGGCGCGCGCCCAGCGACAGCGATGCAATGGCCGGGTCGCGACCAAGGAACTTCTCGTCGTCCGAGTGCATGCTGATGCTGTCTGCGCCAGACGCGTAGTAATTGACGAGGCAGAAGTTGTACGTGTGGCCCGTCGCCTGCTGCACAGCGTCGCGCAGCGCGGCGAGACTAGAAGGCAGCGGCCGCGGCGCCCGCGTGAAGCGGTTGCTTGGGACAGGCGTGCGCGTCTTTGCGTCGAGCAATTCCACTGGCGGCGCTTCTCCTGGACTGACTGCGTCTTGGCCGTTGTGGTCGCCGTCTGGGCCGCCAAAGACGCAGCTCTCGTCGACTCCGAAGACGGTCGTGTACCGCGGCGTCGTCACATCGACGGGCCCGCTGCCGCCGCGGTTGATGGTGTAGCGCACGCGGTAGAAAGGCAGAGAGGCGCGCAAGTGCCGGAAGAGGTCATCGGCAGCGCGCCGCGGGATGAAGGGCTCAAAGTACAAGAGGTCGAGAGCGGGGCCATTATTTATGGCACGCGCGGGGGAAGAAGGGGTTGCGGTTGCAAGAGCGCTTATCAGGGAGCATGGCAGCGCCGCAATGGGGTGCGGGTATGTGGGGTGTGTGGATGGTGGTGGGGAAAGCGCGTTAGGGAGTTGCGGTGGCGGCGATACCCCTAGCCGCTGGCACTTGGTGTTGTCGCTGCTAGGAGTGGTACTTGGAGGACCAGTCGTGGTAGTGTGTTCTGATTCGTCGACTTTGCTCTTCTTCTGCGCCACGGGTTGGAAGAACGCGTCGAGAGTGCGCTTTGTCCCCGTCATGACGTCTCGATTCCCCCTAAACCGGCAAGCAGGGGGTGATGTGGTGCTTGCCTGTCAGGCGCAATGGTCGGTCGCGTTCTCAGCGCTCGCCCGGCCACACGCTTGGTACGGCAGCAGAACGCGTTCAGTGACGGTCAAGTTGAGCAACAAAAGGCGAAAATGGACGGAATTGAGACAGGGCGGCACGGCGACAGGGATACCGGGTATAGAAGCTTGACACCAAGGCGTCCACGCACGAGGAAAAGAAAAGAATTGATAAATTTCACCTTTCCTCTGCAGAAAGGGCCATGAAAGTGATTTGGGTGCTACCCAGTCGTGGGTCACCAGAAGTTCCGGAACGATACATGTACTACTACGCGAGGGCGTAGTCTCACGTCTATGACATCATCGCTGTTTACGTTGATTCCCGCGCGCTGAACGTCGTCGTCCAACTTCGTGCCGACCCCGTCATCCCGCTGCTCGATCCCTGCGCTTTCTTTTTGAAGCCATCTTTGTCCAGCGAGCTCTAATCCAGAAATTCCTTTCGAACGAAACATACGCGTTTTTGCGTATAGCTTGGCCATGTGGCACCAAGTGCGGTGGCGCAGGGATCTGCCACCACGGAGCTGGGCCGTCAGCATGAGGCCTTTGTAAGTTATTGGCCACTTTAATACTTGTGTCTTTGACAGTCCCTGGAAACACTTACTCTCCATTCATTAGCTTACCGTATCGGTGGCCCACGCACGGTATGCACATAGCGAGCCGAGGTGACACGGACGAAATTGATCAGTAGATAGGCACTAAAACACTTCATCTCCTTGGTGTGAAAGCCAAATTGCTCTAGCCGATTTTTGCCTAAGCATGCCGAGCAAACTCGGCATCTGTAGTGCGATACTGACTCCTCATCTCCACCCATGCTACGCGCTATTTCGATGCCCTTAGCCCCCTTTGTTGGAGTCGGCACCGCCTTGACCATCTTGTATCAATTGTATTTTGTCCTTGGGAAGAAATGCTGGAAGCATGATCCCGAAACTCAGATGGGACAGATAGGCGCTGAGAGTGACGCTTTGCCTTACTCTTGAATGGGTGTCAGTGTTTTGATGTACTTTCTGGACGTGTCGAAAAGATCGTACTAGAAGTCGGAATGCGCTCGATCCTCTTGCCTCCAGGTCAGCAGGTGGGCACGAATTCGCCGCTCGTGAGCGTAAGTAGCTGCTGTGCTTCAGGCTTGAGGTTGGCCCAGCTGGACATCTCGTATTCGGGGCGAAAGTGGAAACCGATGCCTCGGTGCGATTTTCTGTTTTCGGTCGGCCGCTACTACGGCTTTTTTAAGAAGGGCGAACGGGGCGACCGTGGCGACGGGCCGTGAGATCCTATGCAAGTTGGCAACTTTGGAGTTTGAGTGACAGCCATCTGACTTCGGGACGCGCAGTAGCTCAAGTTGAAGCATCGAACAGGCGTTGGGGGTAAACTTCCCGCGCCTGACTGAAGAATTTGGTTGAGTTGATGCGGGCGAAAGATGAAAGATCTAATCGTCATCCGGACAGATTTCAAAGAAGTCGTTCGTGTCCCCGACGTCTTACGTACAAGACGTCTGTCTGAGGGCGTTCTCCAGCTTATCATGTCGAGAGAACCTGTAAGACGCGGTAGAAATGGCCGAAGTAAATTGTTGCTAATGCTGTTTATGTTGCAGGCAACAGAATGTCTCAGGTCGTATTCCCAAGGCTTGGATGCTCCTTGGTGCCATCTCTTGATCATGGTGACTTGTTTGGGAAATGTTTGCGCAGACGAATCTTTGCGACTCAGGCTTGATCATTCCAGATGTTGTGGGCTTGAATTCTTGTCATAACCTTGAGCCAATGGTAGAGCTGAGGCACCGATGCGCATTGAATGAAAGAAGACGACGTGAACGACAAGCTGAAGGCATTTCAAGAGAGTTTGCGTGGCTCGTTGACAAAGACATGACTTCCAGAGCGCTCAATACCGTGCAGTCGCGGTGACCTAGAAGTCTGCAGGTGAGCAATGGGTCCGGACAGATTCGCTCATCTTCAGTTCTGAGTGTCGAGTCCACCTCCTCTTGTATGCGTGCGCCAGCCTTCGTGCTGAATACCGCATCCTATCCCCCTCAGTGCTGTAACACTACAGGCTTCCCCGGCTCCCAATCTTCCAGACTTTGCTGGATGTTGCTCCAGTACCTCAACTTGACCGCCTCCCTCTTCGCCGTTTCCAAATCGCCCTCTCTGAACGCCTTATCAAGTACGCTCACGCTCTCGTCAACCTTGACATCATTCCTTTCCTTCATGGCTCGAATCTCTTCCTCGCCCTCGGCGTCCTCAATCGCTTCCCGCGCCTCTAGCACCTCCATCAGCAGCTCCGGATCCTCGATTTTCAGGCTCTCATCTTCTGCCACCTCAATCCCTTGCAGCCGCAAAAGATACTGCGCCCTGGCCAATGGCGACTGTAGTGTTTTGTAAGCTTCGTTGATGCGCGCCGAGAGCGCCTCGGCGGTGCGCTTGTGCGCCTGCGGATGAAGGTCCGGGTGTGCAAGGGCTTGGAGACGCAAGAATTCGCTTCGCAACGCGCGTAGGTCGATGTCGAAAGGTCCGGCCGGCGGAGGTCCATGAGATAGGGTATTCGGAAAGAGCGAGTAATGCGTATGGTCGGGCTGCTGTACGGCGGTGGCGATTTTTTGAAGGGCCTCAGCCAGTGCCGAGACCGAGGCAGAAGATTGTTGCTGGCATCGGCTACTCCTTGTGAAAGAACGCTGTGCTCCAGGCATGCAACTTCCGCATGTTGCAGCAGAAAAGTGCGACGATCGGAGGTGCAGCAGTCGGATGGGCGGCGTCGAAGCAGCGGGACATTGGAGTTCACGCCGAACGGCAGAGCGAAGCCAGCTGATTGTTTGCGGTGTTACGGAGCGCATGGTCGCTGAAATCGCAAATGGCTTGGACGAGGAGGAGGGAGATGGTGATGAAAAGAGGTAGCTGCGCAGGCAGGTAACCAACCTTGAAGTCGCGAAATCCATGTCGGGTGCAATGACTCAAGTCCAAACGTCATCATGCTTGATCTGACTCCTTACATCATTGTACCAATTGTACCAAAAATCACGATACTTGAATCAAATGCAGACACACTACGGTAGCGGATACGTCGAAATCTTGATTGCTAACTCTGAAAATGTGGGTATCTGTAAGGCTCTCTCGAGCTGAAAAAGAGAACGGAAAGGAAACCCTTTCACAAACCATGCAAATGCTAAGCCAAGACCCGGAAAAGTGGAAGCCCTCCCTTGCTGAATATCCACTAGCAACTACTCCGTAAATGCATATGACCCCAGTTCGGACCACTTAAGCGGCTTGGGCAATTGGCTCGCTCCCATACTGTTGTTGTTGATGTTGTTGTTGTGCTTGATGTTGTGGTGGTGGTTGTGGTTGTGGTTGCGAAGCCACACCTTCAACGTGGTCTCCGTTTGTTTGTTCTCCGTTGACCCGCGGGCTTGGGTTTTTCCCACTGTCTGCATTGCTTTGCGATTCAGCTCTGTGCGATTCATCTCTAGCTTGCTCGCCCACAGGATCCACCATGGCCGTAGTCGGCGGCGAGTGCGCTTCGTGTTTGATCTGAGGTCCAACAGCAGGATCTGAACGAGAAGGAAAGAATTTGTCGTGATAATTTCGCCGGGCTAGTTGGTCACTGATTCCATCGGGAAATATTTGCCTCATGATG